CACACACACACACACACACACACACACACACACACACACACACACACACACACACGTGCTGACCCACCACCAGATGGCGTTTTTTAAGCATAAAAAGTAAAAACTTTAATGGCTTAAAAATAAAAGAATGCTATTAGATATAAAAACTTCTTTTTAAAATAATTAGTTCTTTCTTTGGGGGGGAAGCAATGAGCTATGAAATACCATATTTTGGATGAATATCATAATTTTATGAAAATCATACTTTTTATGAATATAATATTTTTTATGAATATCATAGTTTTATTACTTCCTTTAAATCATTTTATTGGGGTCATAAATTACTCTGTTTGACATAAGGGGCCTAATATCCCTCCTCACACAATTCTTTGTTTTTACATTCATCAAGTCCCAATCAGCCCAAATAGCAAAGAGAAATTAAAAATGCATGCCATGGAAGGTTCTTTATTCATTCATTTCAATCTAATCTAATAAATACATACAATTCTAAAGAAAATTAAATATGGAAAAATAATGTTCTTGCATACAAGCTTCCTCGTAGATCCCAAACCAGATGTGAGGGTTATTTCTGAGACTGTGCTGGAACTTAATTTTGAACAATTACCTAATATGTGAGAAAAGAATCACCTGTAATGCTAATGATAGTCTGCACTCTCTCACCTGTCTGTAAAAGTTGGCCTTAAAATTAGTGCAGTAATACATCAGAGATGGGAGAGCATGGAAGGAGAGAAAAAAAATACAGGTCGTTAACAGCAGGCAGTTTACTGCATTTTAATGATCCAACCTAGACATGATAAGTAAAACTACTGTTAAGATGTCTACGTAACACAAGCTTTGATAGCACAATCCCAAGAAATGAAAACAAAAATGTATAAAATAATTGTCAACTCTTAAACATATACATTGTTATTGCTATCATGGTCCCCTCTTTCTGACGTCCTTTTGTATCATTTCTAAAATACACTCTTCTCTGACAGGACCAACCAATAATCAATTTGCATTTATATTTTTATTTTCATTTTTGAATTAAAAAGAAAAAACATTGCAGTCCCATGCTTTCATGTTTAGAAACATTATTCAGCAATAAAAATAGAATGCAAACATCACTTTTTGTTTTCTACTGTATCCTGCTTGTTTAGTGTGCACAACCCTCCACAACAATTTATATAAACCCCAAATCAAAGCAAAAACATGCTTTTATATATGTGTAGTGTCGCGGTTCGAATTTTGAGGAAGAGACATACGACTGAAAGTCCATAGTGGGTCAACACAAATTATTTTATTAAAACACATATATGTGGTGAAGATAGGCTCTGCAAAACATCAGGCTCCATCTCCCGCCTGACAATAGGTGGGGTGTAATATTTATACAAGCAATACGCGTCACTGCAGATGCATGTTCCAGTAACTACAGCGAGGACATATTCTAAAAAAGAACAGTTCCTTCCGATGTTCCTCCACCTAACAGATGCATCCTGTTATTACACTCTTACACTGAACTTATCAGAACTAAACTGTCACGTATGCAGGTACACAGCCTTTGCAATCAGTTCCCTCAGGCAGACTATGTGTCTGTGTTGTTAACCTTAGCGCCTGACCCCCCTCTACGTCCTCTGTTACCAGGCAAACTTCAATGCAGGAGGCTGCTGAATGCACACAGGCAATATATAGTAAATTATACGGTAAACATGTAGGCAACCTTTCAATAGCTGAACTTTGCTCCATTGATCGGCCAGACATCGCGCTGCCCGTAGCTTCAAACCATTAATTAACTTAACCGAGCTTCAACCCTTTAATTATGCAATATGTGTATAACATGATTACAGTTGCACCTGCAATGAAAGATTATTATGTGCTTATGCTAACACCTGAAATACAGACTTTAATATAACCTCACCAGTTTCAAGAAATGTGTCAATGGAATGACAACAATGATAAATCATAAATGATACAACAGTAATAATAAGGATCATGAATAGTAACACAGATTATGAATGTAAAATAATATTTCATCTCGACAGTAGGAAGTGAATGAACTCTCATTATCTTTGCGCCTCCTGGTGGCTACATATATATATACACACACACACACACACACACACACACACACACACACACACACACACACACACACACACACATACACATACACAGCAAGAGAAAATAATCTGTTCCAATTAACTAGAATAGTAACAATAAAGTGAAGATAACATAGTTTAAATGCTTTCAGCAGTCACAATAACAAGTCAGCACACATTAAGCAGTATAAAATGCAAATGTTTAACCAGTGCAGATTTCAATTAGCACTAGCTACTGTTGTGCTGTTTCATGTCCGCACACCTGAGAACATTTTAGCTATGTTTCAAACTAAAAACACTATAATATTGTATGGCAAATTACTTGATAATGCCCAAATGTTGCAGACTGAAATGTAAAAATTTTAACAGTCCTTTCTAGATGAAGGTCTTAGGTCAAATCTTTGAGATGCAAAAACACTGTTACAACTGCTGAAAGAATCTAAACAAAATTCAAGCAATAAACCAACATTATCAATAAAAATACCACAAAATTGTTGAAAAAATGTTGACACCATTTCCCCAGTGACGGTAATTATTGACTGAAACAACACTGAGCACACACTAAAGCAGGCCACAGTCTTCTTTAGTGTGTATCTAAAGAACACTTCTTTAGTGTTCTTTAGATAATTTCCAAAAAGGTAGTATGCAATAGGACTTGAGTTTATGTTTGCTGAATTTACTTATTACAGTGATTTTTTTCCCTGCCAGAAGGCAAACTAATCAATAATGATAATAATAATAATAAGAAGAAGAAGAAGAAGAAGAAGAAGAAGAGAAAGAAGAAGAGGAAGAAGAAGAAAAATAATATTTTTTTTCTACACATCTAATGTGGAAGTATGTATGTATAAGTGCATAGAAGACTGTATTTTATGTTTTACCCAAAATGTGAAGCATGTTGTGACTGTATGTTTTTAGAAGTGCTATCCAAATGAAATGGGTCAGTTACTGATCACTATTATTGTTATCATAGGCATAGTTATATTTCAAGGCTTGTGTTTTACTAAAGCTTAATACTTATTCAGAAAAGGATATATAAAAATGCTAATGAAATAACAAGAAATAATTTGAAAAATATGTAAAATGTAAAATATGTAAAATTACATAAGTACTGTAACGGCTGAATTTTCAAACAAATTCAGCCATTACAGTACTTTTTCACAGACCCACTGGTAAGAACCGTCACATCCTTCATCATTCCAGGAAGTTCCTTTATATCTGATATGAGCACAGTCCTCTCTACGGTAGTGGTTGTCAGGCTGGCCAGATGCCCAGTATCTGGTGAGTCAATAAAAAAACAATATCAATATATTTTAATTAGATATAAAACAACATGGGAAAAATTACTACTGATAGCATGTTTAACCCATTGTGAATTATGGATACACTGACAACCCTCCGTCTCTAATAATAAATTGTTAACTGGGTAAGAAAATGGATGGACGGATGATAGCATTGGTTTTTTTTCTTTATTATTCATCAAAAAATGTTTAGTTAATAACAAGTCATGTCCGGATAAGGCCAAAACAGTCTCTAAGATCTTCAGTTCCTGGTGTCTAGGTTTGTCAATGAAGTTATTTTCTTGATTAAATAACTTCACCAATGAAATAAATAAATTGAAAAACATTACTTCTTTATTTATAAAACATAACATTTACTTAGTAAATAAATATTATTTATAAAATGATATATTTATTACAAATATATTTAATATATTGGCTGAACTCGAAGACTTACTGCAGAGTCAGAGGCGTTCCATCTACCCATTTCCACGTGCCCTCTTGTTCTATGTCATTTAAACCAATCCAAGTCTCTTTCTGGGTGAATGAAGCGATGAAGTTCTGTTCAACGAGCACACAAACATTGGTGTTATGAATCACTAGACTCTTTTTATTTCTGTCCCTTTGGCTACAGGTGTTTTGAATTATTAATAGTCATTGATTTCATTGTTATTTATAGTTTCTAGTCTCTTGGTTCTAGTCTCTCTGCCTCCCCTGTGTTCCTTGTGTCATGTTATGCTTTCATTGTCTCTTCTTCAGTGGTTCCAGTGTCAAGTCCACATCTCAGTCTGTCTCATGTTCATGTTATTTTTATAGTTCCTTGTTAAAGTAGTGGAAGGTTTTATGGAAACATTTTGTTTTTCGAACTGGGGAAAGTCGTGTTCATAATAACGTGGGGTTTGAATTTTAATATTCATTAACAAACACAATATGCATGCACTTTGTACCTGTTCTTCAGGGCTGTCTATCACCACCAAATCTGCTCCTTGGTCTATGCAGTTTTTTCTAGCTGAATGCCAGGAACCAGATCTTGCAGAGAGGAAATAACAGCTATGACTGAACATGCTCCATCCTGTAGGACAGGTTTTATCTGGAAGAAACATCAAATAAGAAATATTAAAGATCAACATGGAACATTCAGCTATTCTTTATATGGTCTCTGTTAATTAACTGGAATCTATATTTTATACCATGTATATACAAAACGCCTTTTGATCCTGACACTGCAATGCAGAGGAGATGCAACCATATCCATGAAGATTAAAGTTTTCTTTCTTAAATTTGTCAAATTCTGTCAGTTCAGATATAATGAGAAAATATTTCCATCTACTGCAGGAAAGTGGAATCACTGAATTTCGGAGTAAAACCTTTTATAAAACTCTGCAGCCTCTCCAGCTCTTTGGTCATTTCAGTGAGGTTGGCCTTCAGCAGGTCTCTCTCCTCAGTAATTGAGGAAAGTTTGTTACTCATTGAGAGATATTCAGCTGAATCTTGTAAGGAGTTTTTGTATGAAATACAGATAAATAAGCAAAGATGTTTTTGACATGACAACACTGTTTATTAGAGAGCTAAGCAAAAATATTTTAGAATTTTGCCATTAGGTAATGTTAAAAAAGTTAACCCTTGTTAAAAGTTAACACATCTTAAGAAAGTCAGTTTTACACATAGATGTGTGTGTGTATATATGTATATATGTATGTAATAGGGGTGGGGGGAAAAATTGATACTGCGTAGTATCGCGATATTTTGTTTGCTAATAATGTATCGATACAGGGACAGCAAACATCGATATTTTATTACAAAAACTTCCAGTCCACCAGATGGTGCGGTTGAGCTTTTTCTCTAGTGAGGTCAGCAGAGGTTAGGTCAGCACGTGGGAAAGTTGATCAAACAAAGATGGAGGCAGAGAAAGAAAGCAGGAAAGCGCCATCTGTGTTTAAACCAAACGTCTGGACGCATTTTCGATTTTTTTAACAATGATGGGATAAATGAGATGGATATGACAAATGGGATTTGCAAGGTGTGTTGTATGAAATTAAAGTACTCTGAGAATACTACGAACATGAAGGCCCATCTTGCACGCCACCATCCAAAAATAGCATTAACTGAGGACGGCAAAGCTAGCTCTGAATCAGCTCAACTGAAAAATCCACCAACGCTGGACACTCTTAGCTTAACAAAGCTATCTCCCAATTCAGAGTGAGCTAAGAAAATAACACAATCTTTCACGTCCTTCATCTGCAAAGACCTGCGTCCTGACAACATTATGGAAAAGGAGGTCTTTTCTTACATGCTCAAGACGCTGGTGATACCATCACAACGTTTTTTTTGCGGACACAGCGGTACCCAATCTCTACATAGACATGAAGCGTAAAGCTGAGGAAAGTTGTCCAGGCTTTGAAGTCAATTCAAGTCGCGACTACTGTGATGTTTAAGGAAAAGAATCCTACTCTGTCTCTCGGAGCACCGCTGCTGGCACAGCTGTTGCATGACACCCAAGACAACATTGGTGACACCGCGCTGGTCAGAAACATCAAGCAAAGTATCAGTCAAGATCTTAAGAAGAGATATGCCAGCACAGTCGAGAAGAACACCCTCTACTCAGCATCAGCTCTCGACCCACGCTTTAAACCCTGCCGTTCCTGTCACGAGAGGAAAGACAGAAAACCTATGCCAGAGTGGTTGCTGAGGCTATAACCCTTCAGATAAGCGAAAATTCTGGTGTTATAATTTAAATAACTTACTTACAATATTTGTAGATATTATATTTTTGTCATATTGGTAAGGATCTATTTAATAATTAAATACATTAATTATAATTTACTGAAGAAAAACAACATATTACTGCATACTAAAGGATATAACATTTATAACATTTATTTTCTCCCTTTCTCTGTATGTGTGTGTGTTTTATAAAGGATGAGAAGAGGCAGCAGCCCATCTCTGAGCCAGAAGCCCATGAATATCATGAGGAACCTGACGACACTGAACAAAATCCCAGACCCCCTCTCATACCAGCCAAGATGAGGAAGTCTTGTGGGCTAACAGACTTACTTGGTCAGACTTATGGTGATGTTAGAGCCCCACCAAAATCATTATCTGCCACAGCTGAGGACGAAGTGAAAAGATACGAGGAGGTCACGCCACTGGCACTCACAGAAGACCCACTAAACTGGTGGAAATCCCATGCGCAAGTCTATCCTTTCCTGGCCACACTGGCAAAAAGATACCTTTGTATGCCAGGTGTCTCGGCTGAAAGAGTCTTCTCGACCACTGGAGACATCGTCACAGCAAAACGGAGCACTCTGACTTCAGAGCATGTTGGTAAATGGCCTGTATTTACTTTACGCTGTAAAGTAAATACAGTACTTTACTGTATTTACTTTACTTTACTTTACGCTTTACTAGTTCCTAAGGACCCCAAAGCGCTTTACATATCCAGTCATCCACCCATTCAAACACACATTCACACACTGGTGATGGCAAGCTACATTGTAGCTATAGCCACCCTGGGGCGCACTGACAGAGGCGAGGCTGCTGGACACTGGCGCCACCGGGCCCTCTGACCAGGACCATGTTGATCAGATCCTTTTTCTGAGCAAGAATGCTGACATTCCTTCACTGTCCAAATGTGTTTAACTTTTTTAGGGCAACAAACAGCACAGTTTACTTATTTTAATTTAAGACAACATGTTTTATTTTATTTAAATTTTTTATTTATTGTAAAATTGCATATTTTTTTTTACTTTACTTTCAAATTCTTCAGTTGCTGAAGGGGCTGCATAGTTTTTACTAATTACATGATTGAGAATAGTTATAATTGTACCAGATGATTGCATTCAGTTAAGTTGGACTAGACTGTAATACAATACAAATGTGATAAATTGCAAAATATCGTATTGCAATACTGAGAATATTGCAAAATAAAAATAAAAATTACAATAATATCGTATCGTGGAGTGTATGGTGATTCCCACCTCTAGTATGTATATACATACACAAACACATAACACCACAACACTAACAAAAGAAAACACGACAACAAAGAAACACAACTCACAGTACAAAGCAAGAGTGATAATTCCAGCCAGCAGGCCCAAGGAGAGAATAACAATTACATAAAATCTTCTCTTGTAGCTCCTTGGACCTGAAAAAAAAAGTGGTTGTGGTGAAGGGGGGTGATAATAATAATAACAGTTTTAAAAATTTAAACTTTAAATTTTTGTAGATTCTTTCTTACCTGTGGGGTTTTGTATAGGAGACCTATTGGCAGGTTTGAAATCATCTTCATTGACATAAATTTCCTCCATTGCACCAAAGGATGTGGATTATTTCTGAGAGCTCAGCTCTGTGGCACAGGACGTGAAGTGTGAGAATCTCACTGGTTTCACTTGATTCTAAGGTTTTAAGCTCAGAGGAAGTCGCCTACTTAATTTGTGGTTTGTGCAGCTATGCTGCTGTTACAGCGCTGAAATGATGGACCAACCCATCTCCTGTGCAACATATTTATTTTTAACCTAACAGAAAACTGTAAAAACAGAAAATGTGACATTAATCAGTTGTTTCAGCCCGCGGCGGTGTTCTAGATTAACTGTTGTTGCAGATCAGCTGGCGTTGGTCGAACAGATGTGTGGTAGACTTGCTTTTCAGGAGCCGCTACCGACAAAACAGCAAAAAAACACCAAATATTTCATTGTGAGGTTACCTCAACACTCCGTCAGTCCTGTTGCTATGAACAACAAAATGTTTAAAAAGTTCGCAGGTTTACGTGGTGATATTCTCATGCAGGAGGCGATTAACACCACACCGAAGCTGTTCACAGGACAGCAAGAGTAAACGATCGGGAGAATCTTGTCATCGTTATCATTCCCCTAAGCATAGTCTGCCTGTGTCTTTTCTCTGGAAATGAACATTTACAGCCAATATAGGTAATACATCAACATGGCTGAAGAGAGTTGGTAGTTATATACAGTCTGTGTGGTTAATATAATAAACATTTGTAAGGAGATGGCAGTTACTGTGAATTTACAGCAGTTACACAGTGAGAGTGAGTGCATTTAAGAAAGTGAGTGACTCAAGTGTGTCGATTGATTTGTCATCTGTTTTTGAGTGTGGGGGAGAGCTAGAAGTGTTTACTTGTAATGCTAGGAATATGAACTTGGGGAGCCGCTACAACGAGTCTTCAATCTCAGTCTGCGACTGGGGAGAGTGCCCGCCCTATGGAAGACATCCTGCATCGTCCCGGTCCCCAAAA